GGGTCATCAGAACCAGGTTTTCAAATAAAATCAAAAATACACCAGCTACAGAATGTTGGTGGTAGTGGTGATGTGTTGTCAGAACCAGCCTTGCAGGTCAAGTCTCAAATACATCAACTGTTAAGGAGCAACCAAGAATGGAGGCGGGAATTAAAACTGGCCCGCAAAGAAGCAGTAGAAACCAAAGAACTATTGGATTCTGCTCAGGACAAAATCAAAGAGCATGACTGTACTATCTCAGAGACACTGGCCACCTGTAAGAAATTGTCTGAGAAGCTAGAAGAGAAAGAAACTGCTCTTCTAAAGGCTGAACAGAACACTGCATCTAAGGATGAAGTTATCAATGAGCTGCGCTGTCAACTCTCCACTGCAGCAGCCCGCGAGCACCAGCTAAATGACTCCATCAGACTTGAGGTTAGCCAGTCAGAAAGTCATCGTGTCCTCAAGCTGGCTCAACAGACCATCAAGGACCTTCGGCAGCAGCTGGACAAAAAACAAGACGTTATTAAGAAGTTCCACAAGCAGGCGGAACAGAATCAAACAGAGATGAGAGAGAAATATTGTGAGGAGCTGGAAATGCTGGAACAGAAACTGACCTCTCACATGATCACCTCCTTGGACCACTTTAAACAGCAAGCAGGGGACCTGGTTGAGAAGTCCGCTGTAAATGCACTGCCCAATGAACAACTTGAACGTTTGGAAGAAACGATAGCTGTGCAGGACCGTGCAATTGCCTCGTTAACAGAAGAGCTGAGGATAACCACGGCGGAACTGGAGCAGCACAGGATCACAATGGAAACACAAGCGACAAAACACGCAGAGGAGACGTTAACCATGGAGTCTCGTCATGCCGGCCAGGTGCAGGTTGTCACTGCTGAGAACGAGGACCTAAGAAGTCAGATGGTCCACATGGGGAAGGAGTTAAATAAGCTCCGTGTTGAGCTGGAGTCACAGAAAGAGGTTAACATTCAAGCGTCCTGCAACTCTCAGGTGGGGAAACTCAAAACTCATGTGGATCAGAAAGAGAAACAGATCAAGAGTCTCAGTAAGGCCCTGTTAGAGCTTCGGGCGGAGATGACATCTGCAGCAGAGCGACAGGCCGTAGTTGAGGCCGCACAAAAACAAGACAATCAGAATGTGCAGAAGGTGGTCGACAGGCACACTCAAGACCTGAAGGTGCAACTAAAAGAACTGAGCGAGGAACTAGAAGCAGCTGTGAAGTCTGTCAAAGCTGCCAGAGGGCGGGAAAACAGGCTAACACAGGAAGTGGACTGCTTGAGCCGTGAGCTGCAGAGAAGTCATAAAGCTCAGAGACGTGGACAGGTCGAGTCAGAGGAGAGGGAGCAGGAAGTCCACGAGCTTCAGCAACAAAACAAGAGGCTAATCGGTGCTTTTCAGAAACTACAAGAACAATACGGTAAGGGGATGACCATCGAGAACCTGCAGAAGAAAATCAGGAGGCTTGAATCAGAGTTAGAGAGAACAGTAATAAAAAACGATCGTGGAAATAATCCAGGGAAGGCCAAGGAAGAAGCTGTGCATTGGGAGGAGGGCATGAAATGGCAGGCCAAAATGAACAAAGTGACATACGGACTTATGGAGAAAGAACGAGAGAACGAGACTCTGTCAAAGGAACTATGTACTCTTAAAGATCTCTACAGCCGACTCATGCAGGAGAACGGCGTGCTGCAGAAAAAGCTCAGGGCACGAGGCATGACCTGTGATCGCACAATCTCATGCTCAACTTAGCGTTGATTAGATGTAAAATATGTTCCTCAGAAAACCGCCATGTAGAACATTTGGATGGGGTTATTGCACATTAAAATCCAGTCACGTAATCAATAAAGTCAACAACAACATCTGATTATTTGTTACTTTGTTTGCATGGCATTTCTCTTGGCTAAAAATGGAAAAATAAAAAGTATAAAGATGGAGGACACAATTTGTTCTGGCAAATCTTTTGACAAATATGTTGTTTTTGGGCTCAATTTTAAACAATTCTCTGAGTACTTTATTTTAAGCCAATTTAATGTTTAAAATATTTCATACAAATTTTGGCTATTACTCTTTTCTACTCTTTTCAATTTTTTTTATTCATATATTTTTCTCCATCTTTTGGGTCATTTTGGCTAAGTTTTTGAAATAAAATTAACTTTCAGCCAATTGTCTAACTTCATTGCTTACACACATTTTTTGTTGATCTTTTAACCAAGTTTTAAGTAAATCGCTCACATACATATGGCTTTGTTTATTGAGAACGCAGCTCAATTTCTTGATGATATAAAAAATGTTGATTTTAGTCTTTGATATGTGCTGGCCTTTGGTTTCCCATCCATCCTTTATTTTAGTTATATTCAAGTCCATGTTTTTTCTTTCTATAGTAATTGTGTGTTGTTTTTAGCATTAGTGTAATCTAGCAGCCCAATTGACGTCACAGTCGCATCATCTCTGACCTGCTCTTGGTTCATCACCACCACTTTGTATTTTGTCTACTTTTCATATTTTCATACAGTTTTGCCTGTTGACAAAGTACAGAAATGGCAGATAAATTTACTCGATAAAACTACCGACAACACAATATAACAGAATGGTAGCAAAGAATATTAATGGAAATCCTATAAACTGAGGCAATATCTAGGATTTGTGTTTTTGTCTTGTTTTTTTTTTTTCAGGTTTGTCTCCCTTTTTTTGTCAATTATAGGCCTGCTATTCATTCGCCTACTGCTGTCAAGTTCAGACAAAGTTACAGACTATGTTTTTGCATATGTTCAATATACATAAAGTTATAGAGCTTTATCAACTTTTTTTCCCCTCTGTTTTGAGGAAACTTTTCCTTCCTCAGGCGTCTCTAATCTGAGATGACTAATTTAACAGTAAGCGAACAGGCAGAATGTGGGCGCCAGCGTTGAAAAGAGGATAAAGGAAGTGGAATTCGTCCTTGGCCTTCATCATTGGCACCGCCACGGCTTCTCCTGACCTGCACACGTTGATGCTGGCAGCAGGGGCATTTGTTCTGCTTGTCAAAGTCGCCGTACCATCGGCAGAGAGTCGTATTAACGAGATCTGTGTATTTGCATACATGTTTCCACTACGACGGCTGCCCGCTCGTCCGTCAATCCTTCTTTCTGCAAATTTAAAGCAGACTGTTAGAGTTAAAGCCGAGAGGTTTCATTAGCGAGTCTATCGTAGCCAAGCTGCTTCTACGCTGCTTTGCAAATTAAATTGTGCCACTTTGTTGAACAGCAACCTTCATTTGTGGCTGCAGTTTTATCTCAACAGCTTTAAGAACTTTGAAACAATGCACTCTTTCATGTTTTGACATCATGCAGGAGTGAAAGAAGTTTTAAAGCTTTGTAACTTTTGGTGAATTTGGTTGATTATAAAGGTTACACCTATTTACTCGAACATTTATGGACTCAGGCTAATTCATTAGGTACATTTGGTCTGTGATACCTTAGTTCTCCTGGGACTTATATTCAACAATTATCCCAAAAACATTCTTACTAATTACTGACATGGCAGCTTATCACTGTTGCTGAATGTTTGTCTATGTCATATCCAAGACCAATGTTCCATGGTGTTTAAAGGGAGGTCAGATAAGAGGACGCAATTAAGTGCACAATACATAATTTCATTATTACATGTATAATGTACATATATTATTTACTATTTTATTAATATGGTTGGTTTACTGATTCATGCGAAAAACTGAGTCAAGGGCTGAAAAATAGAGTGGACAGATGTGATAGCTTTTCAAAATGAAATAACACACAGAGACCAATGCAAATGTGTTTAACTACAGTAAATGCATTTGGATCTACAAAAAGAGTAGTAGTAGTAGTAGTAGTAGTAGTAGTAGTAGTAGTAGTAGTAGTAGTACTAGTAGTAGAGCTTTGTTTAGGTAGGCTGTGGCATTTACATTACATTCAGTTGGTATTCAGGGAACGTGTGTCAGGACAAAACTGGTATAACTCACATGTCCTACCCAGGTGTTTTAGCTTTTGCGAGTTGTAGCCACATTTCTCACTTTTCCCAGGCTGTACCCGTCGTACTGCTGTAACATAACTGCATCGAGGTTCTGCTCTTCCCTAAGAGCATATGTGTGAACGGTTGTTTGTCTCTGTACGCGCTCTGTGATGGACTTGTGAATTGTCCAAAGTAACCTGCCCTCGACTGATGACTGCAGGGATTAGCTGTAGATTTACTGGTAGATTACAACCATAACAAACAAACAAACTGCTTAAACCCTGAGTTGCTGCCATGTGACTGACTGAAGGAGCAATTGAACAGGTGTGTCTAATAAAGTGGCCTGGCAACATATGTAAAGGCCTGCACGTGTCCAAATGTTAACCAAATGCTGTTTGGTGTCGAAATTATTTTGTGTGTTTGTAGCTGAAGTGAAGTGAGTTTTTTACTTTTTAAAATTTCTCATGGTGCGTCAAGAATGGCGTTCCCTTGTAGTAGATTCCGCTGACCAGCAGAGGCCAGTAACATTCTGTAAGCATCAACAAACGCACGTGCCAAAGGAGGGGACTTTGTATCACAAAAGTGACCATCATAATTACATTTTATAAATCAGTCCGTATCCTAATAAAAAAGAACATATTTAAGTATATTACCATACTCAGAATGTATGAAAAGTTTAATTTCATGTTATAATAATAGTAATAATAATAATAACAATAAATGTTGTTTGGAAAGTTATGGTATTTTCAAATTATTATATATTTATGTTGTTCATTATAGTTTATACATATTAATGTCTTTTGTGAAATAAGCAGTCAAAATGTAAAAAATGATATTGTCAGATGTGTCCAGTCACTGCTCCCAATGCAGCTGTTGCTTCCGACAAAAACAATAAATAAAAAAATAAATCAAACGTTCAATACACAAAGCGATGAAATATGAATAGACAACAGATGCACGGAGGGAAAACAAACTTTCAATAATCATTAATATCTCTCTAATCTTTCTCATCCAATCAACAGACAGAGAGTGTGACCGATCGCATCACAAATCATGTTCTAAATGAGTCATTCATTATTATTAGTACTTTCATGAATGCAGTGTTTCATTTAAACACGGTTTGCACCGGGGATTGTGGCTGCGTAATGAACATGCAGGTGGGCGGGGCCTCCGCTGGCTAAACAGACTGATGTTGACAGAGAGCAGAAAATGATGATTTACTAGGTGAGGTTTTTATTCACACCGTGTCCCCAATGAACGAAGATCAAATTAGAGGCTTATGAGCTCCGCTGTCGCCGCTGACGTTTATATGAGCTTCGCTCGCCGTGATTTATGTTTACAGCGGCGAAGGAGCGAAGGAAATAAATAATAATAAAAAAGAAAAACAAATGAGGCAGCCTGAAATCATCATATTCCTGGGCGCTGTCAACAACAGCAGGAAGGAATGCACGTCAGATTTGAAGAAAGAAAGAAAAATAAGTAATGGTTGAGAGAGAGAGAAAAAAACCCCACTCGTGTTAAAAAAAAAATGAATAAAAAAACAACAATAGATATTTTCCAGTAATTTGTATTGTGTCTAAAGATCTCAGAGGTGTTGTGCTTTTGTTTACCTACACTTTTTTCAGTTTTAAAGGAGCCTTTATCTATTTAACAAACAACTAATTCAATCAGTTCTGCCTTTTTCTATGTCAGTGATATCTGAATGATATCTTGCTTTGTCACACTGCTGGATTTTTATTTCCCGTTTAAAGACTCCTACTGCGTCAACATCAAGGTCTGTAGAGAAAATCTGTGTTTTCATGAGAAATAAGCCAACTCTTACACTTCGCTTTATCCAGGACTGATCCAACCTCTTCTTGGCATAAATATATAAACTGGTCCGAGCAGAGCAGTAGGATAATAATTTATCCCACTGTAACATTTGAATTTCTTTATAAAATATATATAACACATAACGAACAGTTCCGTAAACATTTTCTGTAAAGCTTGTTTTTCCACTTTAAATAACAGGGCTGTGCTGTGGCCAAAAGATAAAATTGCATCTCTGGCTCCTAGAATTGAAAATTTTAAAGCCAAGAATGCGTGGTTCTAGCACCGGTTTCTATTTTCATAATAAACGTTCTCACAAAAATCTGACAGCAGCTTTAAATTGTGGTCGCTCTCTGTTATCGTTTCTGGTGCACTTACTTCTGACTCGTCTGTAGCCACACGATGGCAGTAAAACACCACGATTAAAAGAGCAACAGGAGAAGAAAAAAAATGTGATAAAATATTGTGAAAGAGAGCAGGAAGATTAGGACGAAGGAGGACTCAGGGAAGGAGAGAAGAAGAGAATGAATGTGTTCAACCTGATACTGGAGGAAAGAACACATTTGCAGGCTATGTTGCTAATGACAACGCAGGTAAATGACGTGCAACCACTTAGTTAGTGGATCAATAAACAAAACAGAACAAAAATAATTTTCTAAAGGCAAGGAAAATGATTTTTACATTTATGAAATTTTATCTTGAAATAAGAAAAACGTTTTGGTTGACATTTGCAGTCAAAAAATAAAAGAAATATAATGTAAAATGGGCAGAGGCGTCATGTCCCTAGTTTTGATTAGTATAACATTTAAATTAAAAAAAAAAGTCGGCAAAACAGTTATAGATGAAATATACATATCAAACAACTAGCTCAACACAGCTGGTTACCCGCACCATATTCTTTTGCTCACAGAAAGCTACATATGAGTCAATTATATTGTAAATGATTGAGAATTCAATAATGGTGGCCCAAAAAGAAAGTAAGACACACCTGAAGTTACAAAGAGAATTTAAGGATAACTAAAGCAAATACAAAAAAAAATAGTGAGTTGACTTTGTAACACTCAAAGTTAAAAGTTGGTGTAAACAAACACTGAACTATGTTTAAAGTTTGTTTTTGAAGTGACTAGGGAGCTGAAAATAGCAACATATGTTAAAAGTTTGAATTAAAGTTAATAATTAGCAAACTAATAAGCCACAAATCATTCTAAAAGGTTCCAATGACCTAATACAGATAAATGATAGTTAGCCAGAAATAACTAAACAATTAAAAATGGCATATTACCTAAAGGTAACCCAATTAGTTTCAATGCTAAAAGGCAACAAAAGAGTTAATTGATCCACTGAAGCTACTACCACTTTCTAATACAGTAGAACTTAGCCTTGCAACGAGGGAAGTCGCCCTCTGGTGGACAGCTGCTACTTTTTGTGACTTTAGTGGCCATTACAGTTTTGTATTAAGCAAAAGCAGTAACCACTGTGTCTATGTTCTATATACATTTTAATGACTACATTTTTTACATCAGTACTGAACACCTTTCTGCGAAGCTGAGAACACAACAGAGTATTCTCACAGTCATTCTTTCAGGTTTCTGTCATCTTTTTTTTTAAAATCTTAAATGCCTTTAAAGACTTTCTGATCAACACTTTCTTCCTTTCTTCTTCCTCTGCTTTTCTTCAGTTTTTTTTATCCTCCTCCTCTCCTCACGCCTGGAGCCTGTGTCTTATTTTAATCCTCCTCTTCTGAAAAGAACCATTTAGCAGCTCCTTTTTGTCAGAGCTGAAACAAAGTCAAATGTGTCGCTGCAGCGAGAGGAACATGAATTAAACATCCAACAGAGATGGAGAATTACGAGTGACGTCCACTGGTATAAGGCTGAGCATTAAACCTCTGCCTCGTCTGTAGTATCTCTCCTCACCCGGCAACAGGCAGAAACACCCTAACGGACATGTGTCACATCATTCAGGTGTGTCAGAGGTCTAGTGATGGTATCGATGGTGAGACATTTTTTTTTACCTTATATTAGAATATTTCGTACATTCCCTTTAAAAGTGGAGTTTCTTTTAATCACTATGGGGAATGTTTGAGATCACTGTTGATCATTATGTGAAAAACACATTAGCTTTACTTATTGTTACTTTTAGCTGTGTTTGTTTAAATTTTCTGCAGTTCCACCTTTTAAAGACATGACTAGTGATGAGCACCCTCATGTCAATTTATTACCAGCTTTTGCTTCAAATCTCCTCGGAACTGTGATTTCCTAAAAACTGCTTTTTTTAAAAAAAATCAACAAAATTAAAAAAATAAATAAAAATGGAATGACCAGTCCAGACCATTTTCCCACCATGGGACAAATGAAAAAAGTGTGAAAATTAATTTAGCTTGTTGCCTTGCAATATTTTGGTAGGAAGACCAGATCTACTCCCCTTGTTTCATTAGCAAATCAAATTAGTTTTTGTGGCTATTTTGATTTTCTAGGAATGTGATCTT